AAAGACATTTGACATCATAATAATCTTTGGCAGTTAAGCTTTTCACATAAGTTTATAATGCAAAACATTTCCCTTTCCTGATTTACTTGTGCTCTACAGCCAGACTCCTTGGTTTCATTTCCAAATCTGTTGTGCATCAACTGTGTGTCCTTCCATAGGTTATTGACCTCTCTGTGCTTTAGTTCCTCATGTGTAAAAGGGAATAATAATAGTACCTACCTCCATGGGCTGCTGTGAGGATTAAATACATTAATATCTATGAAAGGCTTAGAATGCTACTGGCTCATAGTGAGTGCTGTGTTAAATGCCAGCTACTATTATCATTATCATTTTTATTGAAATATTTTAAGAAATCTATTTTATATATATAAAAAAAGTGTGGGTCTCTTATTCCTTGCCTGAGTAAGCCCACCCCACATTCTTTGCCTGGCGAATCATCCTTCAAACTCTCAGCTCACTCTATAATAGAGAAAAGTTAAGACAACCCTAATGGACCGGCCCAAATAGCAGAATGGCTAAATTTAAGTTTTGGTAGACACACACATTGAAATATCATGCATACATTCATGCCATTTGCAAGTCATCTTTGAGTTTTTAATGACCTGGAAGAATATTAAGTTAATAATAATAAGGATATACTTGTTCAAGGAAAGATATTGAGTACAAATAGTTAAATATAGAACTAGGCACAGAATGATAGGGCAATTTTTGCTTTCTTACTTATACTTCCCTATATTTTCTAAATTTTATGTGATCATGTATATTTTCTATAAAAGAAAAATTAATATAAATTTTAAAGAAAGTCATGCCTCCTATTTTTTTGGAAGCCTTTCTCGACACTTCACTGTCACCATCTACAGCACACACCCCCAATATCTGACACGGTGCCCGTCACATAGTAGGGGCTCAATAAAGCTTTTCTGAATTACTTTCCTTTTGTGCTGGAGTATTCCCTGTGACCTGCGTGGAAAGAGGCCAGAAACAAATAAAAAAGCACTGTCTGAAGGAAGAGGCTTCATAAGGAATACTGGGGGCTTCTTGATCACACCATACTGGTGAAGCTTTATCCTTCTCTCTGGCGTTTAATGTGCCAAAGGCCCTGCCCTCCACCCTGACAGCCAAAGAGCAGGGGTGGCAGGTGACCAAGGTCCATTTCCACTGTGAGAAGAGTGGGGCAGGCTTGCTCATTGGTCAGCGTGTGGCAGTCCCAACAAACTATTTCAACCAGCTGCCTGTCCTACAGATTCCATCCTGAAGAACCCTGCACCCTGCATCCTTGAGTGCTTGTTTTTTCAACCCACAATTCAACTTCAACTCCCATTTCCCCAAAGTGACTTGAACACTGTATTGGCAAAACCACGGGATTAACCTCTTCTTGATTTCTTATCTCAGGAAAATGACCCTCTTTTCCACCTCACCCGGGCTTTCCTGTCTCAACATTTGCCTTCGAGGAATTCTCTAATTGTAGGCATTTCCCTCCGAGAGGCTCGCACTCTTGGCCTCGACCCCTGTGGTCTCCCTGACGCTCATGAATCTCAGCCCTGTCCTAGGAGAGGCTGGGACGTCCGGATTGCCCAGCTCTGTTTCCTGCTCCTTGTTGGTTTGTAATCTCTTCTGCTAGTCTGTTACCATTGGAGATTCCCTCCGTGTGTCATCTCACAGGTCACACCTGAAAGGGAGTCTGGCGATCGCTGACATGGGAGCTGAAGACCTTGGGTCTTGACGCAAGCCCTGGGTGCCCTTGATCAGGTCTTACTGCTCCCCTGGGTGTTGCTTTCCTAACCTGTGCAATGGCGAGACAGATCGGGGTCAGATAAAACCACGGGCTGAGGGGATAAGTACCAGGACCTTGGCAAGGTCACGTTACTGTTGTGGCTGCTGGTCTTGCCTGCAGCCTGGAAAGTCGGGGACAACGTGACAAGACAGATGTGAAAATGCCCACAGTGGAGCTGTGAAAACAGTGGCAGCCAAGGGCATGGAAGGGGAGAAAGCTCTGTGTTACCACGAGTGGGGGGAAATGAAGGGCTTCCCTGATGGGAGTGAGGGGGTGGTGACCCTTCAAAAGCACAGGCAGTTCCCTGGAACCATGGTTGACCTTCGATGACACTTCTCACACCCCTGAACTAGAAAGAGTTGAGTCCCAGAATAGCATCCATTATGACAAAGCCACTGGCGTGTGGGTGGAGGGTAGAGGAGGAGGGGACTCACCACTCTGTCAGGGCTAAGGAATCACATTTCGGATGAAATGTCAGAACACCTGCCTCATTCTTCCTTGGTTTGCTCATTTGGCCAAATAGGGGTTCGCGTCTTGAGTCCATGTTACCCATCACACCCCCTCCCACCCAACTGGTAGTTTGGGCTGCCTCCGGGCACTTATTAAACATGCATTTATTGCACACCTGTTGCATACACAGAGATAAGCAAACCACAGTTTCTGCATCAAGGAGCTCACTTTCTAGTGGGAGAGACAACCAAACAGATATGTGATAGCTGATGTGATGGAAGTAGCTTGGGGGAGACTATTGGAGTGGAGAAGAAGAAGCAGAATTTACTTGGGAGAGAGGTCAGGGAAGTTTCTCTAAAGAATATAAACACCTTTTTTGGTCATGTATTTGAAAATCATTTTTTATTCTCTATTGGCTATTGCTTAGAAATGCCATCAGTGCATAAATCTTGGGGGCAAGTAATCTGGCTAGACAAATTGATACAAGTCTCTTTTACTCTTGGGGTGAAATTTCACTGGTGCAAGCACAGTGTTATTGCTGGGACCCTCATGAGCAAACCATTTTACCTCCATAAGCCAAAGATCAAATCAAGGCTAGAAAGCAAAAGTCAACAGACGAACTCATTGTGGGGCTCAGTGCAGACTAACCACCCATGTTACCTATCGTCATTCTCATCATGCGCCAGAGCAGGTATCTTCCTAATCCCCCCACCCCCCAGAGTGAAAAACAGCCCAGCCCACTCATTGAGCCAGCGGCCCCGCCTGAGCACAGAGTGGGATTTAGACTTACCCTGGAACTCTACTCACCTACAGCTGAGGGTTAACCTTCTCCATCCTCAGGCTGTCTGACACTTAGCTTATCCCCCACCGTCACTAGACTAAGAACTCTTTGAGGGCAGTGATGGGGCTTCATTCATCTCTGTCCACCCTCACAAACAGCAGATGAATAGCAAGTTGGGTTGGCTTGCAATGCCCTGGATCATGAAGTCCCTGTGGATCCAGGGAACACAAGACATATCCTCCACCCCTTAAAGCAAGATCTTTGATGTGTGAAGATGAAACTGCATCAACCAGGAGAGACCACGAGAGACACTAGCACCTGTGACATCAGGGAACACAGAACATCAGAGCTGGGGTGAGGGTCTTGGTGAAGGTCAGGACATTTAAAGTGAGACTCATAGAAAAGTGTGAGGGTAGAAAGAACAGAGGAAGGAAGGAAGGAAGTACAGCTTGTGTTGGGGGCAGGGGTAAGGAGGGACTGCTGAGGTAGGATGACTTTGGACTTTATTTAATGACCCTGAGTACCCCAGGATGCTGCTTCCACTCCTCCTATGGCTCCCAGATACTCTGGCTTCCTCTTTTTGCATTTGGTTTTGCTTTTTCAGAGCATAGCAGGTAGCCATGTGGGATTAGAGGTGAGCAGGTGGGTCAGAGTAGTTGAGCAATGTGGGGCACGGTGGCAACGCCATTCCAAGATGGCGCCCGCTTCCTGGTCAAACCCTGCTGTAAGTCTGACAAACAAGTACTCAGCGCATGTGCAAAGCTTTGTCTCCTCCCCTGCTCCGTGTTGGCCAATTAGATTATGCCCAGTGTACCTACTGCCTTTATAAGCAGCCGCAGAGAACGCCTCGGCGTCTTCCGCATGTAACCAGTTAAGCAATCCCCATTAAAGCGCTGTCAAAAGAACTCCAGTTGCCGTGCCTTCCTTGCTGGCGAGGCGGGCGCGACAGAGCAACAGGTGGGTAGAGATCTCATTGCAATCATCCTCATTCCCTGCATTTGCCTTACTTCACAGACTCCTGTATTTCAGACCTTCGTAAGCGTCACCTTCTACACAGGTCCCCAGCCAGGGCTTTGCATGAACCAAGGCATCCCCTAGGGACTGGATGGGAAACACCCACGTGCTTAGATTGCACAGTCTTTCTGTGACATAGATAAACTCATTGGTAAGCATCCAGTCCCATTTTTATACTAGAGGAATATTCTTTATTGGGACCTTCCAAACGGATGCTTGCTGATTTCCTTCTCCTGTTCTCTTATCAGTCCAATAAAATATCCTGAAATCTTTATTTCTTTTCCATCCCCTCCTTGTTCTGGGACAGACTAACCCATTCCTTTTCTTGAATGAAGTCCTAATAAGATGAATCTGTGTGTGGAATAGCCCCTGGTCCCTCTGTGTGTTTGTTCTGGAGACCACAGCATGGAAATAAAATGGACTTTAGAGACAGATTAATCTCAGTTTCAATCTCAGCAGTGCCCCTTACCAGCATCAAGCTCATCAGTAAACTGCTCTCTGATCCTCAGTTGCCTTGTCTGTAAAATGGGATTAATCACAGACCTGCAGGGTATAGCAGGATTAGATATAATATGTGTAAGGCAGCTTTCCCAGTGCCTGGCACATAATAAATGTCCAGTAAGAAGTTATAAATGATCCTGAGTCACCCTGCTGGGTCCCTCTGCATGTCCAGTGTTGGACTCTTTCTGCCCAAGGAAGCATATACAGGGCACTAAATTCCCTCAGCCCAGCAGAAGGAGGCACAGGAATGGGACAGGGGAGTCCTGGCTCCCCCTTTCTTCTTGGGGTCAGGCTTGTGGCCCAACCTGGAAAGACTGACGTGAAGCTTCCAGGACCCAGAGGTGCCATCCGCCAAGAGCAGATGGTTTTTGTCTAAATGAGACACTTCTAGCAGGTGTGAACGCTTCATCTTTTCCCCCGGGGTTTGCAAACCTCTCCCCTATCTTGGTTATTGCTTTTGGTTGTACCACTTCCCTCTAGCGTGCCGCTCTCCACCTCCCTCATCTTTCCTCTGTGGTGACATCACCCTGGGGAAGAGAAGCTGAGAGCAACTCCGCACTCTCAGCTAGCTTCAGTTTCCTTAGAGGTGCCGTGACATCATCTTTACCCTGGAAATTCCACCCAGCGTCCTGTGCCCCCACATTCGGCCCAGGCCACAGCGTCCCTATAAAGACAGCCTCCCAACCCAACCCCAGCACAGGACACAGCCGGGTTCTGCAGCTCCTGAGCTCTGCACTCTCAGCTCTGGGGAAACCTCTCCTCCACCGAGACCATGAAGTTCTGCGTGGCTGTCCTCTCGCTGCTCGTGCTAGCGGCCGCCTTCTGCTCCCCGGCGCTCTCGGCACCAAGTGAGTTGACTCCTCCCGCTGTTACTCTAGAGCCAAGAGTAGGCAGGGTCCACTCTTCTAGTTGGGGCTAGTGGGATCGAGGGATGGGGCAAAAACGGAGCCGGGAAGAATTTCAAGTATTTTGCTGTTGAATGTAGAGTCTCATAGCTAGTCAATGACATTCAAGTCCCTGTCCTGTTTTCTTAAGAATTAGCAACCAGTAGAGGAAAAGGATGGGCTAGAAATGAGACTGTTGAGTTGGCTCTGCCGCTAATGACTCGTTTAATCCCCTGTTCCCATCTGAGCTCTGGTTTCCCCATCTGTAACACAAAGGGAGCCAGATGTGTTCTGAGATCCAATCCAGTTCCAAGCCTCTAGAATTCCTTCTTGCTCTTCTCCGAGGATCCACTATTCAGGATAAGACTCCAGCTCAGAGTAGGTGGGAATGGATACAAGGGACCATATTTGGGGTCCTGGTAGGTTCCCAGGGGTGCTCGATGAATATTTATAACTAGAAGCCAAAATGAACAGCTCCCACGTAGAGCTGCCACCTCACCCAGCCTTTCTTTCCAGTGGGCTCAGACCCTCCCACCGCCTGCTGCTTCTCTTACACCCTGCGGAAGCTTCCTCGAAATTTTGTGACAGATTACTTCGAGACCAGCAGCCTCTGCTCGCAGCCAGCCGTGGTGTGAGTATCCACCTGGGGTGCCCCAGGAGGCAAGGGGCAGGATGGGATGGAAAAGGGGAGCACGTCTAGGGTGACCAAGCAGTAGGGAGGCAGTTGTCAGGGCTGAAGCCCTCCCAGGGGGCTGTAAAGAAACAGGCCGTGAAGTCACTTTTTGAGTGGCTGGGTGGCAGCCAAAACAGAAGAGGGGGGTTCCCAGGAGAGAAGTTATCCAGAGGCCAGGAACCCGACTAAAGTCAACACAGTCACATGCAATAGGAGCTGGTTTCTTAAACCATGCTAGAAAAATACATGGGAAAGTCATTTCTAGAGTCAGTAGGGAATGGGAGATCTATTTATGTCGATTGCAATACCCAGCAGTTCCTAATCGGGGCAAGCCCTGGGGCCACAGCTAAATCCAGTGGGTGGAAGTTCCGGAAAGTCTGGTTCCAGTGCCACCCCAGGAAGGATGCCAGCCACCACGGTCAAGCGGAGGGAGATGCCTACCACAGGCTAGGGACAGTACCACACACGCTTTCAAAGGTCCCATGGGATCTAATCTGTCCTTTCCTTCATCTACAGATTCCAGACCAAAAGGGGCAGGCAAATCTGCGCCAACCCCAGCGAGCCCTGGGTCCAGGAGTACATGGATGACCTGGAGCTGAACTGAGCTGTTCTGGGCTCAGGGGAAGGAAGTCTTCAGGGAAAGTCACCCGAGCCCGGATGCCTCTCAGTGAGACGCGCCTTCTCCACACTCACGACTCCTCGCAGTAGTTCCTGTCCCATCTCTTAATTTAATCTGTATCACGTGCTATGCTATTGTATCGGGTGTTATTTCCATTATTTATGTTTGTTTTGCCAAAGGACACATGTCCCCCATGGGGACGGTCCACTGTCACTGTTTCTCTATTGTGGATATTGTAGATACATGGATGATGCAGTTGATTCCATGCGTTTTCATAATAAAACTTTTAAAACAAAGGTAGACCATTGCTTTGTCATTTTAATTCAATTTAGGGTGAAAGAAATTGGCGCCATTAGGAGGGACAAACCATAGTTTCCAAAAACAATAGGAAGGAAAAATTACTGAGTCCTTAATGCATGCTGGGGCTAAACCCTCTCGTGGTCCCACTTCATACTTTCAAAACAAGGATTTTAACACTCTGGTGAAGTAGGGACTGTTGCCTCTGGTTTCACAGACGAGGAAACAGGCACAGAGAGGAGAGGCGACTTGCTGAGGCTTGTGGGTCTGCTCGAGGGGGGATGGTCTGAAAGGATAACTGGGCTGCGAAGGGTTAACATTTCGACATCTCTGTGGCAAGTGGTAAACAAAGGAAGCAGCAAGCAGAGGTAGTTCAGAGTCAGAAAAGTGACTTCATCATCTCATTAGCAACAGAACAGTAGGACAGTCATCTTGCCTTACTGGACCTCAATTTTTATACCTGTAAAATGGGGATGCTATTAATTCCTTTGAAGGGCTGTTGTGAGGTGATGTGTAAAGCACCCGTCATGGGGCCGAGCACCTAGAAGATTCTCCCCTCCCCTCTCTGAGCTTCAGCCTTTTTACTTGAAACAGGCACAGCTTCTAGAGGCACTGTTATAAGGACCAGGTTAGTTAGGTAGTGGATCAGCACTCTAAAGCCCAAGGCAAAGGTGAGGTGTCGTCATCAGGTTGGAAGCATGCAGTGTCTGGTTTGGTTCAGGAAATGTTGCAGGAGTAACCGAAAGTCACATCAACTTAATAACCTTTTAATCCTCAAAAGGGGACCTGCTGGGTAAGAAGGATAGGCAGACACTACCTTGAAGATGTTTGTTCTTAGTCCTTAGCAAAAGCAGAGCTGGGGCCTGCACCTCTCTGGGGCCAACAGACACAATGCCCTTCCTGTCCTGCCCATGGGCACCCCCATCATGCCAGAGCCCCAGGAGAAACCTCCTTCAGATTCTAGAGGGACTGAGAGGAGGAGGTTGGGGCATTGCTGATCCAAAACAGGTGTGAGGAGGGGCTGGCGGCAAAGAGCCTGCCTGGCCTTACCTTCTGCTTTTGTCTGTCTCTATCTGAGCTGTCCAATGTGTTAGCCACTGGCCGGAGCAGCTATTTAAATGTCAATTAAATCTAAAATTCAGCTCCCGAGCCACACTAGCCACATGTGCCTTGTGTCTGCCCTGATGGACGGCACAGACATAGAACTGTCCGTCATTGCAGAAAGTTCCACTGATGGAGCTGTCCCGGAATGTTCTCAGGGCCTAAGGAAAGAGAAGGGAAAGGAGGAGTTGGGGTGGCCTGAAGGGTTAAAGTGTGGATTTGGAGAAAAATACACAATGCTCTTCTGAGGGGGTGGGGTGGGAGAGAGAGTAGAGGGTCCTCAGGCCTGAGACAAGGTCTAGGTCACTGAGGTAACTGAATAATGGTCCCCCAGATGCCCACAGTATAACCCCCAGAACCTGTGAATGTTACCTTATCTGGAAAAGGGACTTTGTGGCTATGTCCCTTAAGGATCTTGAGATGGAGAGATGACCCTGGGTTATGCGGTCAGGCCCCGAGTGGCCTTAGAAGCCTGAGTCGGAGGGAGATTTGATGACAGAAGAGAAGGCAGCAATGTGGCAACTGAAGCGAAATGCTGTGCTGCTGGCTTTGAAGGAGGCAGAGGCCACGAACCAAGAGACGCTCGAATGCGGCTCTGGAAGCTGGCAAAGGCCGGGGAATCGTTCCTTTCCTAGAGTCTCTGAGAGAGTGCAGCCCAGTGAAACTGGCTTCCAGAATTGCAAGAGAACAAATGTGTGCTCAAGACACTGAGTTTGTGGTGACTTGTTACAGGAGCAATAGGAAACTAACACAACCACCAACTGAACAGTCACTGAGAGTGATCCCCTATAGCTAGCACAGAAGGGAACAGAACGTTCTAGAGCGTGAGTCAAACTTCCCTGTAGGAGAAACCCAGGGGGAGGGGGGACCCATTCCTGGGAGATGAACCGCGGTGAGGAGAGGTGTCACAAGAGGAGGTTCTGCTTCAACAGCCCTGCATGTGGGCTGAGGCGCTAGCCAGGTACAGGATCCACAGCAAATGTGTCTCTTCTCGACGCTTCTGTGGTTCTCTGAGGGGTCTGTCTGGAAAAGAGCCCATCCTCTCACTTGTCAGGTGCAGTGCGGAGCGGAGCCATGACCTGTGTCCGTGTAGTTATTGGTTTGAGAGGGCAAGGTTAGGGCCAGAACCTGGGTGTTCTCCCACACGGTGGAACCCTCTCCCCAGGCCTCCTGCCCCTCAGCAAATCCAAAGGGAAGGGCTCGGTTCCAGGAAGCAGCTCTCCGGGAAGGCTGCGGGAGGCCTGCACAGCCTCGTGAAGAAACGCTTCGCCCGGAGTTACAAACGACAGCGTGGAATCCTCCCAGTGGGGCAATGTGGGGATTCACCTGTTGCATAACACGAGACTTTGTTTCTTCCTCTCTCCTCTTTTCGTGCAACTTCCCTTTTTTATCCTGGGGCCAGACAGCGGGTCTCTGCTTACTTGACTCTCCAGCTGAGGTTTCTCCCGGTTTCTGGGTGGGGGCCAGGGCCAGAGTAGATGACAGGCGAAGGGGGCTAGTTTATGGAGCGACTTCTAGATCCCAGGGCTGTTTTTCTCCTCTCGTGCAGCACCTGCCTTCCCCATTTCACTCTCCAGGTGAGAGGGAACCTGTTTCCTCATGTACCAGTTCATGTAGACTTCCTGTCCTTCTCCCCCCACCCCACCTCAATCCAGAACCTTCCATAACACTCTCATTGACATGGGTATTTTCCTCCTAGAAGGTCAACAGCCAAGCATGCAGAGCCAGGGATCAAGGAAGCAAGTTGGGCCAAGGGGGTGAAAAAACCCACAGTTCTTCCTGGTGGCTGGGGCCGCGACCGTGTCCCTGTCCTGAGCTGCAGTCCACGTTCACCCATCCCAGACCCGAGCACGTGCCCCCACCTGTTCTCCCTTCCAAACTCCTCTCCTCTTGGGTTCCCACTGAGTTTAGCAGACAGGAAAATGGAGAAAGATGTGGGAATTGGGAGACAAATTTGTGATTGCATTTTTTTTACTTTTTAAATAGTTTCATTTTTAGATACAGTAAGTTCCTCTGTATCCATGGGTTCCACATCTGCAGATTCAACCAACCACAGATGGAAAATATTTGGGGGGAAAAACAATACAAAATAACATTGCAACAATAAAAAAAAACCACAAAAAATACTACAGTATAATAATTATGTACATAGCATTGACATTGTATTAGATATTATAAGTAATCTAGAGATGATTTAAAGTATATGGGAGGGTGTGCATAGGTTATATGCAAATACTGCCCATTTGATAGTGGACACTTGAGCATCTGTGGATTTTGATATCCATGGGGGCCACTGAAACTAATCCCCTGAAGATACTGAGGGATGCCTGTATATTGGTATAGAAAATATACACATTCAGAAAAAAAAAAAAAAAAGAAAAATTTTCGGGGAAGACAGGCTTGATCCTAACAGGATGTTTGGAGGATTTCCCCCTTCTATGGAAACAATCCCAACAGGAGAATAGCACAGCCACAGGGAAATCATTTCTTTAGGCTGTGTTAGTTCCTTCTAAAATCTCAGGACCCTGTGCTCTCGAGCTCCTCAAAGAGACGTTAGTACAATGACTTCTGATTCATCTCTTTAAGAGGTCTTCTCTTCTTTCTGCTAGGGGCTGGAAGGAGAGGGCTACCAGTATTTACCAAGTTCCTTAATGTGCCAGGCACTATATCGCATGAGTTTCATGTAGAGCCTTCTTTAATCCTTGCAAAAACTCAGGTAGATATCATTATTCCCATTTTATTTATTTATTTATTTTTATTTCAGCATATTATGGGGCTACAAATGTTAAGGTTACATATAGCCCATGCTCCCCCCCCACCTGCCGACACCTGATAAATGTTACTCCTATATGTCCATTAAGTGTTGATCTGTTAATACCAATTGCTGGTAGTACATGTGGTGCTTGTTTTTCCATTCTGAGATACTTCACTAGTAGAATGGGTTCCAGCTCTATCCAGAATACAAGATGGTGCTATATCACCATTGTTCTAAAGCTGAATAGACCCATGGTATACATATACCACATTTTATTAATCCACTCATAAATTGATGGGCACTTGGTTGTTTCCACATCTTTGCGATTGTGAACTGTGCTCTATAAACATTCGAGTGCAGGTGTCTTTTTGTATAGTGTCATTTGATCTTTGGGTAGATACCCAGTAGTGAATGCTGGATCAAATGGTAGATCTACTGTATCGCTTTAAGGTATCTCCATATTGTTTCCACAGAGGCTGAACCAGTTGCAGTCCCACCAGCAGTGTAGATGTTCCTATCCTCCATCCACGTCAACATTTATTGTTTGGGGACTTTTGATAAAGGCCATTCTTACTGGAGATAAGTGATATCTCATTGTGGTTTTGCATTTCTCTGAGATTAGCGATGTTGAGCATTTTTCATATATTATTGCCTTTATTCGCTTCTTTAAAATTTCTGTTCAGTCCTTTGCCACTTTGATAGGTTGTTTGATTTTCCTTGCTGATTTCCTGAGTCTAAATAGATTCTAGTTATTAGCCCTTTATCAGATGTGTAGCTTGCGAAATTTTCTCCCATTCTTGTGGTTGTCTGTTTGCTCTCTGACAGTTTCTTTGACTGGCAGAAGCTTTTTAATTTGATCAGGTCCCATTTATTTATTTTTGTTGCTGCTGTGATTGCCTTTGGGGTCTTCTTCATAAATTCTTTGCCTAGGCCAATGTCTAGAAGAGTATTTCCAACGTTTTCCTCTAGGATTCTAATAGTTTCACACCTAATGTTCAAGTCCAATGTTCATGCTGTTACCCAGCGTAAGTTGATTTTTGTGAGAGGTGAAAGGTGTGGGTTCTGTTTCAGTCTTCTGCATGTGGACATCCAGTTTTCCCAGCACCATTTATTGATAAGGATTCTTCCCAGTGTTATGTTTTTGTCGTTT